CCCCAAAACCCCAAAACCCCAAAACCCCAAAACCCCGTTTGCCTGAGGTTAACCTGAAAATTATTGTACGGATTGTTTAACCATCACTCAGCATATTGGAATATACAGGGTTCATTGTGAAAGAAATTGGGTTTATATGCTATTCAAGAAAGGAATAACTATAAAATGAATGAGTTTCTGACACTATCATGCTAACTAAGGCGTATATAACCTCACTGAAGAAATAAAGTGTCTTAGTTTCAAACCCTCTGCACCTCACAGGAGCTAACCACCCATCCGTGTTAATTTCCTTTATCAGAACACAATTCCCAACAACCAGTAAAACATAATCCATCAGCTATAGCATAAGTACGAAAGGGATTGTTTTAAAACATTCCGGGCTTGGAACCTCTGTTTCCAAACCACGCATGAAGCTTTGATAGAAAGTAATCTTAAGAATTTAGGTATGGGTTTTAGATAGTATTTTTGAACCTCATTTGGAGACTTTAGCCTAAAAAGTTATTTTAGAAACATACCTCTGTCATTAGGGAAGATTCTAGGTCGATTTCTGTGCATCCCATTGGGATTTTGCCTTTTGGCCTTGAAAGCAATTTTATCGTATTTTTCGGTTTATGTAGAATTATTTTGTTCTTAAACCGTGCAAATTTTGTTGACTTTTTAGGGTGACTTATTTACATTGAGTTCTGCATCTTGCAAATGAAGAGTTCCTGGTTTTAGTAGGAGATCAGAATTGTATCTTTGAGTTCAGAGGAGGTAAGGAAATCATCTTGGTTATGTTAACATTCCTACTGTGAGGACGATCTGGAGATCCAACCATTGTAAATTCTTCATTTCTTCGATAGTCATGGGTACTATAATTAGAAATATCAGAATAAAGATTCAAGCATGAAAGTCATACAGATCGGGACGTACTCTTTTAGTGTTTTGTTCATAGGGTCAAAGTATTTATCATAAAGTTGTTGGATCCTAATCTTTAGAGAACTAAGATTTTTCTTAGAATTCAAAACCGCCATATGTTTGCTCTTATTTAGCCGACTTTAGAGTGGCCAAGTTTGCCTCTAAAATAATTTATCAGAGTGAATCTTCTATGCTTTAAAACAAACAAAAGGGTTAAGATTCTCTTACTGGTTTGGCATTCCTTCTTTCCATTCTGAAAGACAGGGAGGTTCACCTCAGTATTGTCATTTGTTGTACTCTTGAAGTACTGTGAACCATTTCTGCTGTTATGCTTTTGATTAGAAGGAGTTGCATAACATAGAGATTTATTAAAACTGTTTTTCTATATTGTTAAGCCAAAGTATGTACAAAATCATCTTTACTGCCATCGGCTCTTTTGGATTCGTTAAGAGTGGATTTCTTCCATACTTTGTATGACTCTTTCTTCTTTTTAAACATAATTACCTCATTACTGTTGGTAGACTTAGACACTTTTATAATATTTTTGACGAGATGCTGAACTTTGAAACCTTAGAGGAAGATTTTTTATACTGCTGGCTTCCTATAGCTTCATGTTATCTTCATAGATATTATTGTACAAACAGAGGAAAACTCTGATTTAAAATTTTAGGAAACCTAAAAGTTCAGTTATAAATTTTCATAATCTGGAAGATAAGAACAATCTTGCATAATGTACTATTATTTTGCCTTAGAAGAGTAAATTGTCGGAAAACAAAAGTGCTAATCGAGTTACAGATTTTGTTTGGCAGCTTGATCCTTAATAACGGAGCTTTTGCTTTCTTATCCACTTCAAAGTTGGTGTCTGGTTTAATAGTCTCTCCTTTAGTAATATCGCTTATTTTCTGTCCATTTGCTAGATTAGAAAGCATTTTAGAATATTATTCTATTTTTATTAAGTTTTAGGGGTTTTGGGGTTTTGGGGTTTTGGGGTTTTGGGG